TTCACCGTTTTGAGATCTGTCAGGAAAATAATTATTCCTTCGGCCCTCAGTTATTTGAAGTTAATGTTCCGGACTGCCAGTGCACTCATTTCCATTTTCAGCTTGTTTTGACTTTTCGGCCTTTTATTTTTTAATTTTTTTAATAAATACAATCAGGCTTTAATTCAGGACATTTGATTAATCAAACTCAGACCATCTGCTGCAGTCCTGTCTCCTGCTGATCTGCATTGCCTGAAGTCAGTGACATGCTTCAGGGCTGCAGTCTCACACTGTCTCTTCCTCTGTCAGCTGTCTTATTGCTAATCTGCTCTTTTCACCCAACACACAGTGACTGGGCTTTGTTTACTGTTGATGACCATTTACGATAGTTGTAATGCTAGACAATTTGTATCAAAATACAGTATGTGCAAAATCCAGTTATACAACAAACACATCAGAATGAAAATAGCATGAACCAAAGATACCCCAGTAATGTACAAAGAAAAAAACAACCATAAGAAACCTCCTCACTAAGACAACTCAAATATTTTCTGTAATACCATTAAAAGCAATTTTAGCTTCAGCTTTAAACTTCCTACCAGTAACAGAGACTCTGCATTCACATGTTGATTTCCCTCTCATGTTCAGAAATTGACTCCGAAACTCAGACTGAAAGTCTGTACAGAGATAGCTTGCACAGCTTGGAGATTTTGATGGGAATACACCAGTTTTGTTCTAACAGAACACTTTCTGGTCATGGCTGGTTGTATTTGAAAGGGAAGGGGAAATATGCCCCTTCAACAGCTGCACCATCCAGAAGGTCCGTAATTGCTTTCAGAGACTGTCAGGTTCAGAAGTAGCACGGTTAGAAGGCAGTAATGGATAGGAGAATGTCCAGTCCCTACATAAAACCTTGATTTTATTGATGCATAGGCCTTCTGCAGAGGGATAAACATCATCTCTCTTGTTGTTAGATGTTAGAGTCAGTCTCAAAAGTCAAGAAGGAACAGCACATTCAGAGAACAGGCCCCCCTTCAGCATCAAAGCTTATCAAAAGAAATCATTACATTAGATATTGAAAGCATAGATATACAGAGATATTTGGCTGCTGTGTTTCTGAATGCTTGAGAATGGGATATAACACACCCATAATACTTGAGCATGGGGGAATTCACCAAGAGGTTTATTACTGTATGACCAAAGAATCAAAGTTCTCCTAAGCCAAATGTAGAACAGAAGAAGAGGTCCATGTGCAGCTCTAGGAATGTATAGGGTAAACAAACAAATAGAGGGAGAGAAACAGGAGCCCAGAAATGTCAAGATTGCAGCGAGTAATAGCATCTACCCTTTTGAGGCAGGGACTGGTTTCCAAATGCATTATATCCTGTCATTTTCTTAGAAGCAGTTTTACTAGCAGCAAAGAAATGGATGGAAGTCTGCATCATACTGACTTTGTGATGAAACTACAAGAAAGGTTTGTCACCTTACTTAAGTGGTCACAGAAATGCAGTGCTATTTGCCATAATACTCAGCAGCAGAGCATATGGGCTTCTCTGTACTTCCACAGCATTTTGCCAGCCAGGAGGCACAGGAGGCAAGGAAAGCATACAGTTTCCACACAGGGTTTTGATTTACATGGGAGAAGAGAGTAGTGTGGACTTCAGATCAGAAATCCCAGACAAACACACCCAGAGAAGCTCGCTTCTACCACTCATCAGTTACTGCCATGGACAAGGCACAGCTCTGCACACCCTTGGGTTTGAGCCAGCCCTTGCTGGTACCTGTGGAGCTCCATAAGGGACTAAACACGCTGTGCTCTTTGCAGGAACAGGACAATAGCTATCTGAATGCTTATGATAACAAGCATCCTCCAGCTACTGAGGCTAATGCAATAAAGAGAATTTCATTTTGGCATAAGAAAAACCAAGGGAATGACATGATGTATTGGCAAGATTTAAATTATATGAGGCCAAAGAGGCAGCTTAAAAGAGTTAGGCCTTTATTAATCGGGTAACAGTGATGCTGCATTTCAAAACAGGCTTAACACCTGCTAATTTCATTTCAGTGCTGCTGAAGCTGAGTCAGCTAACTGAGCCTGCTGTGGATCAGGCACGTTCAGAGCAGCAAAGCTATTCCTTGCCTTCATGAAAATGTTTTTCTCTCTTTAGTAAGGACACTGAGGGGAAAGGGGGGAGAAAGGATGACCTCCTTTCTCCTTTAAACACACCAATGTCCCATGCAGCTGGAGCTGCAGGGAAAGAAGATAAGAAGCATCACAGAATTCAAGGAAATCCCATAGCTAATGATTATATATTTGCAATGCTAGTGGAGGAAAAGGCATATTACTCTTTCACTTGCAGACAGAGGTTTGAAACAAGCCTAGTGGCTTTCTGAGCCATAGCATAGGTCAGTGAGAAGCCAAGAAAAGACTCAGTCCCAGGTCCCCGTCACTGCAGGGCACTACAGATTCTCCCCCTCATTGCTCTCTACCCCCTGCTAGCTAATCATCTCCTCCATGTTTCTCCATTCATTGTGAGCTCCAATTTTATGGGAAACTCAAGCAGCACCCAATAAAGTTCATCTGCTGTTCCTATCTACATTGCACGTGTAGACTTTTAAAAAATATCGTGTTGTTCTTCCACACACTGAGTGTGATAGATGCTACCATACATGCATGCCATAAGACACCGCGACCCTGAGGTATGTTATGAGATTGTAGAACAGCCACAGCCCAGACACAGAGCCAGCATGGATCTGCCTGGGCTCCGTGAGCACAGGTTAAACATTACCTGAACCAGACTGTACTGTTGGCTTCACAGCATCACCCTGGCTCTGAAAGCAGCTCAACAACTTCTGCTCTCTACTGAGAAGTCATTCTATGCTAGTTCTGCTGCTTGCAGAGCATGTTTTTTCAGTTGCCAATTTGTTTATTACATGCTAAGGTTTCTGTAACTTCACAGAGGACTTGAAGCAGATTCTACAATAAAAACATTAGTGTGGGCCAAATTATTTTTGTCTCGCTTTCATTCTGCTTGGAGACAATTTTCACCCCAAGGCTAACGATGAGAACCTTGAGTCAGATTTTTATAATGGAGGCCATTTGCATCCTAAACTGTAACATTTGCTGTCAGCAGAAATTATAATGCTAAAACTCAATAGTTAATGATACAGCACACACCTCATTTTCTATGACAAAAAGGCATAGTAACAGCAAGAAGCACTGCAAACCAACCATAATACACTGAAGCTAGAATTACTTTACCAGGATTGGCACTTACTACAAGCTTAAATGGTTCATATATGGTACAAAAGGCAATTGTGAAATGACTGGAAATGTATTATGGAAGAAGGTAATTGGTCTTGCTGAAGATTGATTGAAGGCCATTTATTGAAAGTAGTCATCAGAAACAAAGGTTGGATCGTCTTTTCAGTTTCACCAGAGTAAAGCACTGTAATGGCAAGATCAAAGAAAATCCTAGATTTTTACTGTCTAAAGGGCTCAGGCTGATTTGAAGCAAGTGCTTCAACAGAGCATTGGATCCTAGCAGTCCTTCTGGACAGCTGGAGTCTAACATTCTCACTTCTAACTGAAGTTCAAAATGCTCCCAAAGTAACTCTAGTTATTTGTGTCATTCAGCCAATACCGATGTTGTTGAAGAACAAAGCAATGTGTTTAAAGTCTGTTGTCCTAAGCAGAGGAGCTGACTAAACTTCTCATATCAGGACCCTTTCCGTAGTTACAGAAGCAAAGATCACTATTGTCCCTTTCTGACGCCATTTCATTAAAGTGAATGAAGCGACAGTCTTGCAAGAATACCCAGCAAGCACCTCAGTAAGGCACAGAGCCTGGGGCATCTGCCTGTCTGCTGTACATCTGGAGAGTGCAGATAAGACAATGAGGGAAGGGAGACATTTCTGTGCAGTAACAAACAGAATTTTCTTTCGTGTCATGTAGATGCTCTACAATCACCAGAGGTCTGCAGTTAGTGAGGGATAATTGCAGCAAATACTTGGGTCACCTGAAGAACACTTGCTACAAATGACCAAACAACACTTCAACACCAGCCACCATCATCCCTCACCCACCTTCTCTCCCTCCCCCCCCAAAAAACTAACAAATTCTTATGCATTTACAACAAATCTAGGTGAAGGTTAACTTCTCCACAGTTTTTCTTTTTCCCCCCTCTCCAAAGCCCTGTAAGTTATCCTGTTCTGGCACTGGTATAAACCACCACAAACTCCTGTGAACTCCACCAAGAGAAAAATGTCCTAAGTAAAAGGACATAGCTTAGAAATGTAGACTATAGAGAAAGAAGCCACAAGATTCCTCTTTCTAATTTCAAGCATAAATCTGGTCCTTCGTAAGTGCGTCATGTGGCCTGCTGCAGTGAGACAGCCGTGCCAGGAGGATGCAGCAGACACAGCAGGTCAAGTGCTTTCCATTCTCCAGGATCAAACATCTTTCATCCTCTGTTCAACGCTTTTTATTTTCAGAGCTCTCAGTACAATAGGTGTTGAACTTCTCTGAAAAGCAGTTGGTGCCTGTCTACCAGGAGCTGCTTTATTGATTGCTCTGGAAGTAGACAGACATACATTTCATAAACAGCGTATCAAAGTTCAAGCATAATGGCTGTGGGCAGAACACCAGAAGAAGTATAAGAAAAAGTTTCTACTAGTAAGCGAATTAACTTGACCATATATCACTGAATTTCCTTGTACGCCCAAGCAACCCACAAACAATAACTGTGGTTACAGAGGATGATAAGCAATCACAACAAAAATAAATTAAAAAAAGCAGGGCTCGTATCTGTAGCAACCCACAAACAATAGAAAAACCTCAATCCACTTTGCTGGGACACAGATGCTCTCCCCCAGCAGACTGTCCTAGGGCACGTGGAAGAGCCAAGGAGCAAACTGAGAAAACAACCCAGGTGACCTCACCCCATCTTCAAAACCCATAGGAGAGAAACACCACAAGTGAAAACATTCAGCACCAAAGTAGCCCACGGACCGCTGCTTACCTGCAACTCAAGAAACATTCAGGTTACAAGCTTCATAAAAATGTATGGTACAGAACTAAGGAAGTGGCCTAGAGGTAGGATCTTCCTCAGATATACCTTAGGGTAACTGCATTCCCTTAATTGATAGCTCACTAAAGTATGGCTGTGTAACATCTGCTGGGAAGATGGGAGTTGCAGGATGGAGTTCAGGGGCAGTGTGCAGCTGGCAGTGATTGAGGGCTTCTCATCAGCTAAAAGGGTGCTCCACCACCAGCTGCTGCTGGGGAAGGTGGAGTGACGCAGGGGAGAGGCTGTTTGGAATGATTTACAAAACTAATAGCTCAAAGAAGGAAAATGTACCCCCCTGTTCTGTTCTAACAACACAAAGAAGTGTATCTCACTCCAAAGGGAAGCCTTCTGGGGTCGCTGTGTGTCTCTTGCTGTGCTATGGGGTAATTAGAACAGTTAAGAGTGAGACACAGTAGCTGACCTGATTTCCAAAACCATCTAGATCTTTGGCATTTTGTTAACAGCAGCATGCTAGCCCGAGCTGCAGGACAGCACAAGCAAGGAGTAGGAATAAAACCCAACAGTGCAGCAGTCACATACATTCCTTTGGGATATTTCTCTTCAGACACTGTAAGAAGAGATGAGACAGGAACATGAATGAATCTCCCCTTAGTACTGGAGGTCTGCCTGGGAGCAGAGAGTTCCTGGAAAAAGAAAGCTGATCTCTCTAAGGGAAGATTTGTTTTTTCAAATGACATTTCGAGACAAGGAGGCCCGTTTGTATTTCAGCTACAACAGCTAAGCAATAATATTAATGCTTTGAATTTGCACAGCGCTTGCCACCAGCAGCCCTAGCATGCTGACAAATATTTAAAGTGGGATTTTCCAGAGCATCTGTAGGAATTAGAAATGTAAATCACAGGATCTGTTATGCTTTAAAAGAAATCACACTCTTCATTTCCTTCTTGTGGTGCTTGTGTGCCTTTGGTGTTATCAGGGCCAGTGTTCTCAGTGCTGCTAAAAACTCATGCCTAAAATTAGGAATGAGACTTCAGCTCCCAAATAAATATAACCTCAATAAAAGTGACATGTTTGTGGTGTTTGTTTTTTAAGCTATTGTTGTGTCCCTGAAGAAAACACCTTTCTTTAGAAGATTATTTAAATTCTACATCTTTTCACTTAAAAGTGAACATTATCTATCAGCCACAAAGAGACATCCCTAAATCATCTTGCTTTTTTGTTTTCGGAACTTCTCAAGGACATTTCATATCCATACCTTCTCATTTGCACCAACCATCACAGCTCTAAAATTAAAACTGCTTTATCTTGCACTCGGTTTTCTCCCAGATCTGTTGTGTCCAGGACATTGAACGATTCCTTTAGAGGAGAGTGCTGGCACGAGGATATATGAGATGTGGCGCTCAGTGCCAGCTCCTAGAAAGCACTGCCCTTCCCTGCTGTTTCCCTGGAGGGTGACTGCTGCCTCCCTTTGCACCAACAGCACTGAGGCCACCGTGGGGATTCCTCAGCTGCCACTGCAGCAGCCAGGCACAGGGCAGTGCTAATTTATCACTGACTTCAGAGGCAGTGAGCTGCTGGCTTCCCTGCGGTCCTCATTGCAACGTCTACAGGTAAAAATCTTTGCTAGAATGATGATTCACTGAGTATCTGGAGCAGTGTTTGCTCCTCTGGATCAGGACTCTGCACTGAGCCCTGCTGAGAGCCAGACCCTTGCCAGGCTTGTTTATATATTATATATAATATTATATATATATCAGCATGCTGGAAAGGAGTCTTTGGATATATTTTCAGCTCATGTCAGAACACCACACATGTTATTCTGATCCCAGCACTTAAATTCCAAAATACTTTAAATCTGCTCTCATATTTGATATTTTTAAATAAGAAATGTTTACATGTACATTGCCACGGTGACAGGAAAATAGAAATAAAGACAAGGAAAAAATTCTCCTAGTGCACTGAACTCTATTTAGAATACAATCACCGTTAATATATCCAAGCTGATCAATAGGGTCTCAACATCTGCTGACTACCATTTTGATCAATAGCAGTGTAGGTATGAAGATAAATTCCCATTACAAATTCCTTATAGATTTTAAGCTCTCTGCCTAGTTCATCAGCATCCACCATATAATTGACCTCAGAGAATGTGACTCAACCTCTTCCTCCAGCACCAGTCCTCCCCATGGTGAACCCCCATCCTCTGGCCATTGGTATTACTGCCCATGGTGACAATGTTTTCTTGGGGTTTGCTTCTGAGACCACTGAGGCACCCCAACCTGCTGGCTGCCTCCACTGACATCTTCCCTGAGGTCTTTAAGATCTTGGGTAGGAGTAGGCTCCAGTCCAGATGAACCATTCCAGCAAGATGGATCCTCTTTTTTGAAGGACTGTTGATTTTCACAGTAGTTGAGCTCTCAGAGCTCTAGGAACACAAACACAGGCAGAGTCATTCTGTAACATGAATGTTCTCTAACCATAAATAAATATCCTTAAGAGTTTCCCAGGCATCAGAACAAATCTTACTTTCAGGAGAGTTCTATTTTAAAGGATGAGAAAGCCAGAAAAAAAAAAAAAAAAAAAAAAAAAAAAAGTAAAAACAACCCTGCTGCTCTGCAATGGCAATTTTTATTGAGGTCTGAAAGCAAATTGCTTGCACTTGCAGGCAGTACTTACTAAGGTCTGGGAGAGGAGCAAGAACATACCACTTGTCTCCCTCGCACTGCCATTTATGACGGGGTCACAGACTACAGTTCTACTCTTGGATTTTAGCTATTGAAGTTACAGTCCCCGAGGGCTGTAAAAAGTTGCTGCTGTCATATATAAATCAGTCTTTTTCATAAAAAATGACACGGTTTGACATGGAAGGATAACATTATAAGGTAACTACTGCGGAGGTTTCACGCTTGGATATGTTCAAAAGGATGTTTCTCTTTATCCCTGACCACAAATACTCACTGATGGTTTCTTGTCAGCTGCTTGAAAGCCTTAAAGAACTGCTATCTCCTCTGGGTTCTGCTCTGTGGCCAAACTTCTCATTCACCTTTGATCATCCTCCAGGGTGTTTTTGGTGTGTTTTTTTTTTCTCTCCCCTGACTGAAGAATTTCAAATGCTACAGTTTGTTCCAATGTGTGGGGGAGAAGAAGAGGAGGTGAAGATTTTTACAGGCGTGCACGTACATCTTGTACAAATACACACCCAAATCCTTACCTCTGTGAGAACACAAGTTCTTCTATTTTTAAGATTTTGTAAAATTAGATGCAGGAGGAAAAGGGATTTACTGCCCCAGCTCCCTTGTCTCTCACACCACCAGGAAAAGGAGTGATTTAAAGGTATTTCCATGCAGGCACCCAGGGCATGCTGTGAGTTCATCTCCCTTTGGGGTGTTAACACCCAGCCTAGGGCTGTTGGCATAGTCTCACTCCAGAGCAGCCTGTCCTATACACAGATAGATCAGTAGGTCTTTTCATTGGCTACACTTGCAAGCAGGCAGCTGCACCAAGTTTTACAGATTATGGAGCAGCTGTGCCACATTTTATTCCTGTTTGGCCCAGGTTGGGTGATTGCCTCTGGATGTAAACAAGCACCTGGTACAGAAACGTGTTGGTTTTGGAGCAGGCTGGGAGCTGTAGTCCTTTGGGAGATCTGTGTCGGGGAGGAGGACAAGAGGCTGCAGTGCAGCTTTTATGGCTCCTCCTGATTTGTATGTTAGAGGTTTGCATTTTGCATCCCTACGTGAGTTTTTCTGTACTAAGTACATAATCTATGTCTCCGCGAGTACAGAAATATAACAGACTGCTACTTCATCATAGAAAGACATGGAAGTTGAATTATCTGAGTGCCCCTGAGTGCTGGGTTTGGTGCCTGTGGGTCACAGCTGTAGGGCAGCCTCATGCAGGTGCAGGGCCAGCAGTCAGCATGGCAGGGATATGGCAGGATGGCTGTGGAGCACTCGAGTCCCTGCACCCAGCATTTGGTTCTGATGGGGGAAAAGGATCTGTGCTAATGATGTATTTGATATGAAAGGGCACAGTGCTTCAGTGCGTAGCTTGCAATAAGAGGAAAGCTGATATGACAGCTGAGGCTTCGCAGTGGTAGAAATGGGCCTTTCAAACTCTCCGACAGGGAAAAAACAAACACTGAAGGACAAATCCAGAGCCAGCATAACAGACTGGTGGGTTTGGGGGGACATGCTTCAAATAAGCCTCCTTTGACAGCTGCTATATTTGTCTCGCACTGCCTGTTCTCCACACAGCATCCCCTCCCCCAGGAGCCCCTGGGCTGTAGGTAGGATGGGATTTAACCAATTCCTGAGAGTGCAGCCAAACCCATGGCAGTCAGCACAGCAAGGGTGAGCACTGGGCTGCAGGTGGGAGAGAAGTACCTCGGTGCAGCCTGGGCTGGCTGTGCTGTGAGGAAGGGCTGCGGGATGCTTGGGGTGCTTTGGTTAAGGAGCAGGGCTAACATGCACAGAAGGCATTCACAAATGGCAGCAAAGCTGTTTTTTTTTGTTTGTTTTTTTTTTTGCTCACTGACAAAAATAGATGGATTGAATGCAGGGATCACAGAAAGGGGAAGCTGGGTTTAGAGTCTGAGTGGGGTGTGTCAGCACACTGTTATCTCTGGTTATACATAGCAAGGAGAGGAAGACATGGGATACATGGGGAAAGACATGGAACACGTGGGTGAACCCATGGTTACTCGGCAGCCTAACAGCACAGCTTGGCACTCTGTGCCATGCACTCTCCTCCACCATTGTTCCCAAAACAGCACTGGGTACGTCGTGGTGCTCTGCATTAACAATCAGCCCAGACATTAACTGCTGCAGTTCTGCCTGGTGCTCTCCATTCTCCATTTATTTTTTAATTATTATTTTTTTAATGATGATGCTTCTTTCTTCACTTTATCCCGCTGAGCCCTCGGGGACATTGTTAGTGCTCAGTGTCACTTGACCTTCTCTGTCTCAGTGACCTGCCACATCTCAACACTCTCCTTCACACATTGGCCAATTTTATCCATTTAAATGCTTCCTTAGATACATCAAAAGAAGTTGTATAAATACGTTCTTTTTTTTTTCTTTTCCCACCAAGCTTTGTGTTTCTTCTTCATTTATTTTCTCTCCTAGTAATTGTGTATCTGCTTTCATTGGCCAAACCTTCAGT